AAAGGATGTGGAGTACAGTAACAAAGTAGCAAGAAAGACCGCAGTAAGAAAGATAACAAAAAGGAAAAACAAAAAGAGAAAAAGGGTAATAAGGCTGTTAATAATGCCAAGAAGAAAAAGCAAAATAAAAAATTAAAGCGAGAGGCTCTTAAACGAGAGGTACTTGCACAAGACACTTGGAGAACACCAAAGAAAACAGAAAAACCTTGGCTTATTCAAGATCCTAACGTTAAATATACAAGTGTAACTCAACGGTAATATTTTTATTAATTATTTGATCCTAAAGTATATTTGATCATTTTGGCATCCTTTAATTTTACAGGCTGCATTACGAGATTATCGAGTTGGTAAATTATCTTTTACCAACTGATATTGAGCGTTTATTACGAGCATTCGTCATCAAAAGAATAGAGCTCGTCATCAAAGAACATTTTCAAAAGGCGGAAGTTATGGTGTTCGGAAGTGTCAATACTGGCTTATATATTCCAACAAGTGATATAGATATAGCTTGTTTTATTCACGCAGAGCCCAAAAGTGCTATTTTTACAATTGCAAAGCTCTTTGAAACCCTAAATATTAGTGCTGATAAATCTACAATGGTTACCTTGGCTGAAGTAAGATTTTTTTTTTTTTTCAAGTGAATATATATAGTTTTTATAAACATTAATTTGATTTCTTTTTAGGTTCCGATCATGAAGTTCCAGGAATACTACACGAAGTTCAATGTAGATATTTGTATTAACCAGATTAGTGGATGCTATTCTGCGGTCGCCATACGACGATATATGGAGCGATGGCCATCATTAGGCACATTGGTTATCGCCGCAAAGTGCTTCTTAACACATCATAAGCTTGATTGTCCTGTGTCAGGTGGAATGAATGGTTATACACTTTTTTGTTTGATGCTGAATTTCTTCCAGGCAAATATGTGAATAAGTATATTTATTGTATTTTTATTTATAAAATTTATTAACATCTTTACGTTAAATATCAAATAGTTGCACCCTAAAATTCAAACTGGAAGAATCATTCCCGACGACGAAAATCTTGGGGTATTACTTATCGAATTTTTCGAACTTTATGGTGTTGATTTCAATTATAAGCAACTTGCTATCCGTGTTGAAAGAGATGATGATCTTGGTATGGGCATAGGATATTGTAAAAAAGTAAGTTGTTAAGGGTGAATTGGTTTAATTTTCAAAAATTTTTTATTAATTATATTTATGATTTTTTTCAACGTATAGGAGAATGAACCTTGGGCTACAAAGTGTCCAGAAAAATTATGTATTCAAGATCCTATACAAAAATGTAATCTATAATTGTTATACAATATCTCGCACAGATTATTGTATAATAACGTTTAGTAATTTTTAACATTTTTCTTATATAGCCAATGATATAGCTAAAGATACAACAATCATGCCAAAAATTCGAGGACACTTTGAACGAGCTTTTAATACACTTGTTAATCGTATTTGCGTTCTTGAACGAAGTTTATCAAGAAATGGTGATATAATCGTGGATTTACATAAACAATCCATTTTATCATCCATTTTATTCATTCGTCGAGAGATCATTAACCGTAGACGTAAACTTCATAATGATTTTAGAAGTGGTAAACAGCTTGCGCAGGCAGTTGCACCATTTGGAACTGGTATTGCGAATTCATTGCGACTTCCAGATTTAGAATATATTAGACGAGAATTTTGTGAAGAAATTGAAGACATTAGTATGAATAAAGAAGAGGCCATTCATGTCGCATCTTCCAATAATCAATTGAATGGTCCAGGATTTTTACAAGCAAAAGTGAATTCACAAATTAATCGTTCCAATTCGGATATGGATTTATCAGATCCTGGTTCACCTCCCATCCATAATATGTATGGTCAGTCAGTTGATCCTTCAAATAATGATGGACCTAATAAAGGATGTGGAGTACAGTAACATTGAGTAAGTTTCATGTATCTTATTAATCTGTTAGGATTATAATCTGTAATTTTAATATGTAATTTTAATTGATAGGTGTACGCTGGAATATACTTGAATTTTTTATTGATGTTGTCAGCACGATCAATAATTGGGTTGATTGCTTTGTAACAAGCCAAAAATTTCCTTTTCTACTTGCATGTACTAGCATCTGTAGATTAATTACTGTATAAAATCTGTAATATATCTATTGTATATATAATCGGCGGCCGATTTTATTATCTCGGCTATTTAGCAAGCAGATAAAGTCGGATAAACAAAGATTAAAAATACATATTTATTTTATGGATTTTCTTTCCAGTAAATAAAAAGACTGCAATTGCAAGAAGATCGGAAGTTATAAAATCGGGAAGGGGGTCGATTGCATCAGTGAAATTTAATAAAATTAAATATATGTGTCAGTAGTTTTTAGTGTTATTCGTATTTTAATAAAGAATAACTATTGTTATTTATTGTTTGAATTATATAAAGTTATATAATAAACAATAATAGACTATATACCATACAAAAAGGTTAACATAATTGTAAGTAAATCCGCTTCGCGGCGCGAATTTAATTAACCCCTAGCATGATCATTGTTTAAAAACCAATTTTTTATACTAAATTTTCATCATTAAAACTTAATATTAGGGATCGATAATCAAATTAGCATAATTGACGTCAAGTGAAAATGCTAAACAACTAACCCGTGGATATATATATTTTAGTACTCGGATTCGATTTGATTCACACCCCTACATCCAGGGTTGACAATGGACTATGATATGTTCTAAAAAAATGTCAATGGATATTGTCCATTGGGTCAATGGTAGGGTTCTGCAAATGACGGGCATGTACTATTAAAAATGATGCCTGGGCCTGTGCCTGGTACTATGTTTTAATAATGCCCGTGCCTGGCACTTGCAGAACCCCAGTCAATGGACATAGTTCATTGGTAGTTACTAAGCCACATTTTTGGTCCATTGGCCAACCCTGCCTACATCATTAAATATTACATATTTCGAAAAGAATATTAATATATTAATATACGATATATACGTATCTATAATATAATAATATTAATTTTAAATATAAATACTAAATGATCTTTTTGGATTCCTTTGTTTAAATAACAAAACTATACATTTAATATATTTAATATAATTAATAATACTAAGCAAAGTTCACAATTTATTTATATAACGTTTATTTGAATTGAATATCTTAAGAAATGAAGCGCTGATTATACTGTATTTTGTATAAAGTCAAAATCAATTCAAACATAAAAAAAATAGCATACACTCGCTTAATACTAAGTATTGTTTTTTTTTTTCTTCTTTCAAAAATAAGTATCGATCTTGCAGCGTAAAAATATTCAATATAAAAATGTAAAAATTTTTTAAATGTTATGGTTCGTACGTAAATTTACCAAAAAAATTTTTTTTAATCAAAACTTAACGTTAAACAAATTCACGTGATCACAACCAATCAAATTATAGGATTTTGATGATCGCCGGCGAAGCAAAACAAAAATACAAAAAATGGCAGTCTAAACGTACCTCCGATAGGTTAATTAAAAATGTCGAGAAGGCAATTTTGCTTATATATAAGTACGTACCTAAAGCCCAAATATAGGGTGACACTCACCCTAAAGTTAATCGAGAACGTTATTAAATATGAGATCACGTGAATTTGACTCCACTTTAGATAAAGAACGACGTTATTTATACGGATATTTGTCGAACTTGCGCTCGTAATACCGTACATACATAT